TTGGCTTGATGTAGTCCCCTTTTCTCTAAGTTTGTATTTAAGGCTTGCTGTCTTTTGGAGTCTATCCAAAACAATCACTACAAAGACCAATTACAAGGAGCTTGCTACCTATGTTTTCTTAAAGTTCTACGGCCTTACATTTAAAATTTTTTATTCATGATCAACAGTGGTTTTAACCAATTGCTTTCAACTTTGCATGTGATTGTTCAGTTGCCCAAGCACATTGCTCAGATCAAGGGATTACTGTCCCCACTGTATATTCTTGCTGCTTTCTCATGAACGAACTGACCATGTATACATGGGTTTATTTATGGGCTCTCCACTCTGTTCCATTGATCCATGTTTCTATTATGCCAACCATACTGTTTTGATTACTGTAGCTTTGTAAATGTAGCTTAAAATCGAAGTGTTATACCCCCCAACTTTGTTTATCTTTCTCAAGATTGCTGTAGCTGTTCAGGGATTTTTACAGTTCCATACAAATTTTACATCTTTTTTTTTTTCAAATGTGAAAAAAAATGTATAAAGATATTTTCATAGATATTGAGCCTTGGTGGCTCAAGTTAAAAAAAAAAGCGCCCGACAAGGTGCATGATCTTGCGTCTGTGAGTTGGGCCAGCGTTGGGCTCTGTGCTGACAGCTCAGAGCCTGACCTCATTTCAGATTCTGTGTCCCTCTCTCTGCCCCTCCCCACTCATGCTCATATCTCTGTCAAAAATAAATAAACATTAAAAAAAAGATGTTATGTTATTTATAAATGTATTTTTATTAGAAATATTGGAAAGTAATATGGTTAACAGCAGCATGGAAGAGATTATGGTATTTTTCCAATTAAAGAACATATAATGTTATTACTAAATTTGCAGTGGTAGGAAAGGTATGTATAAATAGAAGATGGTTTATAATGAATACACACGTTTCTGGATGTGATGGCAACTACTATAATCATTATAGCTGTTTGGATCAAAGCTCCGTGGAGGAATCTGGTTTTTGCCTTTATTGTAGCCTGCCTCAGTCATGTTCTCCCAGTCTCTCTTCTTACAGGAATTCTGAGACTTTCCTCAATGTTCAGCTTCTCATGAAGATGGTCCCTGCCTGACCTAATGTGTTACTTTGTGCTTAATCTAAACTGTATTATGATCATTGTTACTTTTTCTCTCCATTGGCAGAATAGATTACTACAAAGGTTTATCAATGTAATTACTACCTGGCTGACAAAATATGAACATCTTATTGGGAGTTGTAAGAACTATTTTCTCCTGAAGACATGCTTAAAACATTACTTTCTATACTACTCGATTCAGACATTGTGAGAACTTAATGCCTGAGTTGTGGAATCCATCTTGTAGTCATGACATGATAAGCCTGAAGACACATTAAAAGTGGTGAGGAATACTACCTGGTAGGGAGATACCAGATCAAAGAAGGTGGTTTCTCCCAGGGCTTAGGCTTATCCATTGCACTGGGATGTACTGACCCTGCGATTTCCCCAAATGTGGGAAACTGACCGCGCAATTTGTGGTAGTGGGGGACTGCGTTCGCGCTTTCCCCTAAAAAAAAAAAAAAAAAAAAAAAGTGGTGAGTGGTGAGGAGCGGTGCCTGGGTGGCTGAGTCGGTTAATCGTCTGACTGTGGCTCAGGTCATGATCTTGCGGTCCATAAGTTTGAGCCCCACATCGGGCTCTGTGCTGACAGCTTGGAGTCTGGAGCCTGCTTCGGATTCTGTGTCTTCTCTCTCTCTGCCCCTCCCCCTCTTTCATTCTGTCTCTCTCTCTCAAAAATAAATAAACATTAAAAAAATGCTGAGGATAAAAGCTCAGTCGGTTGAGCGTCCAACTTTGGCTTAGATTGTGATCTAATAATTCATGACTTTGATACGTGCATCAGGCTCTCTGCTGTCAGTGCAAAATCCACTTCCTGTCCTTTCTCCCCCTCTCTGTCTGTCTCTCCCCTGCTCATGCCTTTTCTCTCAAAAATAAACATTTTTAAAACAATGTTGAGGATACAAAACAAATATTGGTGACCTCTGGGCCCTTGGTTATTTGGGTGTGTTAATTAATTAATCGTGGAATCATAGTTCACAGGACTTCTTGTTACCAGTGATATTAAACTCCTCAGTGTTTAAGATACTGACCCCTCTCCAGGAAATCTATTACTCAAACCAGAAGCATTTCAACTGATGATACAACGACCACCACCACCACCACAACAAAAACAGCCAGAATTTAGTCAGTGAGATAGGATGAGATGTACAGAAAATGTTTCCATTTAAGCTGAGCTTTTATGTTTTAATGTTATGTAATAAAAAAAGATGAGACTCTATGACTGCAAGAACACAAACTTTCGTGATATCCACCGCCTGTTGAAAGAGGGGCCTTATAGATTCATTCTGTCACATGCAAGTTGAGAAACCACAATTTCAAGAGGCTTCCTTACTTATCTAAGACCTCAAACCAACTAGTGGTAAAGCAAAATTATCTGTCTCGGAGTCAAATAGATTAAAGACACTACCACTACTCTGAAATAATGTAAAGGAAAACTTTGAATGAGCTAGCAGTTTAGAGTGGGAAAGCTGGTGTAGTTCTAGACTAAATGGATCAAAAAGTTAGGGTACAGTGGTGGTGAGGGTCCCCGAGACCAGCTTCAGTCTCGGTGACTCCCTGGAGGACCCACAACATTCAGTATGGGCTTACCCATGGCTATGGTGTATTACAGTAAAAGAATATAGGGAAGAATCAGGAAAATGATACATGAAGTGAAGTCAGAGGGAAACCAGACTCAGGCTGGACTGAGTCCTGTCTCAGTGGAGGGACAGAGTCTATAACAGACATGCATTAGAGACTCAGCACCAAGAGTTTTTAGTGGGGGTGGTAACTTCTCCATGGCACACCAAACCTTCAGACACCTAGAAAGAAAGCATGTTTGGCATGACAAAGCTTCTTTACAAATTTTAGTCAGAATGTGCCCTTCCTAGTGAAATCTAGTTTTAGGAAGAATCTTGCTAAGTCAGTTTTGCAAGATTCCCCCACCCTCCTATCTGATAACTTTCATGATCTAATTAGGTTCCTCATCTCCCATCATGCCTCAGCTGATGTCTGATCACCCTGGCCTGCCTTCAGCAAAAATCCTCTTGGGTTGGTTTGACAAGAATCCCCACCCCCTGCCACATTCCATCTGATGATTCCTCTAGTAATTCTCTACCCACTGACTCCCACCCTGCTCTTTGGCTGTAAATCCCCACTGCCCATGCTGCCTTCAGAGGTTGAACCCAATCTCTCTCCCTTACTGCAAAACTCTATTATAATGCCGCTGTACCTATTGCGATGGTCCTCCCCTTGAATAAAGCCTGCCTTACTATGCCTTAACAAATTTCATTAAATCTTTCTTTCTTTGATAAGCACAAACCACGATGTTTGCCCAAACCATTTAGGCATAGTGAGCTACTCTTATCAGTTCTGGGAAGGGTAGGAACCCTGGTGAAATCCAAGTTCACAGACACCAGCAAAGGGCCAGTCTTGTCAACAGGCTTGTAGAATAATCACTGAGGCCCTCTGTGTCATTGCTCTTATGTATGGTGGGAAAGAAGGAACAGAACCTCAGTGATATGCACAAGCCCGAACCTCAGCGGGATCTTATTGTAGGTTTCCCATAGTTAAATAAATAGTGCTGGCATGGAGATATTTCAGTGTTGAGCTTCCAAGCTATAAAGTGTCCTGGAAACATGACAAAAGCAAAGAATCCACGACAATTTTCATAGTTAATGCTCTTTAAACCAGGCAGGAAGAAGGTGTACAAGGAAAAGTGTACAAGGAAAAATACATATTATCTGTCTTCAAAGACCAGATAAGGGGGCATTCAAATGAGGCAAGCAACGATCTGCGAGCAGCTGAAATGTCCTATTGTGATTGTTAACCAATTTTGCAGTTAATCAATTAATCTAGAGTGTAATCTAGAGTGAAAGTCCTTAGGCCCTGCAAATGCAGTGTATTTATTCCCTCTGGTAGCCCACATTTCCAAATTCTTAAATGGTTTTAATGGCTGTCATCGCTGTGACATCTTCTTAAGGTTAACCTTAACACTGTGAGTTTGAGAATTACAATGCAAGGAAAAAACCATAAAAGAAAGAAAACAGAAACGGTCTTAAGTCATTTTCTTTTTTTCTAATCTCGAGTAGCTTTGAACTCCCACATGCATATGCAAACATATGAGCTTAGAGACATCTTGGCTGTGATAGGCTATGCCATGGGCACTTTACGAATGTAAAATCTTTGCATAGCTATTATATAGTTAGTGTCGACATTTTTCAATGCGGTACAGGCAACAAATTATTGCCAAACAATTATGGCTAAATTCTACATTAATTGATTAATTTTTCAATTTAATAAAAATAGTCATTTTACTTTTTTGTGCTAATTAATCCATAAACAAGAAAGATAAGCTAATATAATTGCATTTTAGAGGATGATGTTTACTTTTCTTTGCCGCACACTTAACAGCCTTTTTACTTTTGTCTCTCTCAGGACAACATGCAGAAAATGATAATGCATTTCACAAATTATTTGGCAGCTGGTGGTGGTATATTGAAGTCCATTAAATTAAGAAACAACTCACCAAGCTGCCCTCCCTCAAATTACACTATAAAGATAGGAGTAACAGTTCATAAAGCAGAATTTTTGCACACAAACAATTAGATTCAGAGTTTGAGACCTTAACTGCACATAGACAAATTATTCCTCTTAGTTCTGCTTCACAATAGGACGTCATTGCTGTGGGGAAAATGTGCCCACATTAAAACTGCAAATTGATTTTTGATGAAATAAAGCTACCTGCATCCTAGTGAAAATGTGACAGCTTACTGAAGATGGTATTAAGCAGAAAAGTATCACACCTGTGAAAATACAATTAGAAAGGACTCCATTAAGGAGGTAAGTTTGTTCTTGTGACACTTGTGAATCTTGTTCTCGTAAGAAATTTTTTTTTTAATAGTGAGGTAAGGGCATGCCTGGATGCCTCAGTCACTTAAGCATACGACTCGGTTCAGGTCGTGATCTCACAGTTTGTGTGTTTGAGCCCCATGTCGGGCTCTGTGCTGACAGCTCGGAGCCTGGAGCCTGCTTCGGATTCTGTGTCTCCCTCTCTATCTGCCTCTCCCCTGCTTACACTGTCTCTGTCTCTCTCAAAAATAAATAAACTTTAAAAAATGTAAAACAAACAAACAAACAAACTAGTGAGGTAAGGATAAAAATAAAGGGAATTACTCTTTAATAAAAGGCAATGTTCCTATTATGGTATTACAATACTACAAATAAATCTCTGAAACTTTTTTTTTTTTTTTTTATTGAAAATGATAGGGGTATCTGGGTGGTTCAGTTGTTTGGGTGCCTCACTCTTGATGTTGGCTCAGGTCATGGTCTAGCAGTTAGTGGGTTCAAGCCCCACACGGGGCTCCATGCTGTCATTCTCTCTCCCTCTGTCTGCTCCTCCCCACTTGCATGCACCTGCTGTCTCTTTCAAAGGTAAATAAATATTAAAAAAAAAAAAAAGAACATAAAAAACTTCTGGTGTCAGCTCTGACATCTAAAGAGATTAGAAAGTATCACCTCTGTCCTCACAATGACAATAAAAAACAAACAAACAAACAAAAAACAATGACTTTCTTTGGACCCTTCAGGGAACTGAGATTATATGGCAAGCCATCACCACAAAATCCGAGGAGAGAGGTAAAGCCAGAGTGTTACAGCTGAGATCTGTGTTCCTGGGACTGCTGGCACTATAAACTCTCAGGAATACTTCAATGATAACTTTGAACAACACCGGGGGCTGAATGAGAACGAGTGTAAGAAAGATAAACAAGTGTTGTTGGAAGTCTTAGGGACGTCTCTACATTTTTGTGGCTTTACACAGCAGGCATTACATCAGATTTTGCGGTAACGATGTGACAAGGATTCCTTCTGACTCTGGCAGGATGTGGGAAAGGGCAACCATTGTGAAATGGGCCCAGGACTCCTTCACAAGGGCCACTCTTTAGGGGAAAGTCCTTTGCACGACCTCTATCCCACCTGCAGGGTGGGCCTTTCTCCAACTGCAGCCCCATTAGCCCTATGATCTATCCTAATGAGAGAGAGGCGAGCCATACCACTGCACAGTCACGTAGGAAGGTCATAGTCTGGAGACACAGGCCACTAAAAGACAGATTTAATCATAATTATAGAATGAAACCCCTGGCCTGTCCCTTGCAGAAACACCAATAGGACTCCTGAACAATAATAATGGATTACAAATAAGATTGCTGTGACATTCAGATGCTCTTGACAGAGGAGTAATTGAGAGAGCCCCAACAGCAAAAGAACTGGGGGAATTTGAACGTTCTGCTTCCTGCAGTTATAGCAAACATCAAACTCAGCACATCCCCAAGAAAGATTGACATAAAACCTGACATTAAAGACTATAAAACTCAGCTCTTGTTACCTCCCACCCCCAAAATCATACCCATTTTAACATTATAAGGTATTCAAGAAAGGCAAGGAAAATAATCGGAAGAGGCAAAGCAATCA